TTTCCCTCTGTTGCAATATGAGCTGAAAGCTATTTATTCCGTCGTTGCTGAGGTTGGTTGAGGTGAGTGCAAGATGAATTCGGCTATTAAGGAAGCAATTAACATTTCAAGACGAGTTTTTATACTTCTTTATATTAAATGAATGGCTTGTTGAAGATATAGATTTAACTGTTTTAGTATAGTGATATGGAAAGGAAATTTGGATAGAATTTGTTTAAAAACTTGCTTTTGTTTTCCAGCATGTAATGATTTACTGTTGCTTGATTTGCAAATCAAACCTCACCTGTCTGTGTAGCAGCCTTAATATTTACACTAGTCATTTTGGATACTGCTTCCTACACAGCTGAGGTTCGCTAACCCTAAATCTACACTACAGATCCTATAATACTGTATCTGTATTCTCCTCATCCTGTTCTGGGGGTGTTTCACTACTCATCTTCCCCAAAATTTTCTCTGAATTCTGTATGTATTGACTCCTTTTCCCTGAGGACTTAAGCACCGTCTGTAGGCACTTCTACAAAGGGTGAAGATGGCTTCTATAGTTGCGATACCCAGCACACTGCGTCTCTAGGACATACTTCCTCAGTTTCCTCAGTTTCAGGCAGCTAAATATCGGTATCTATTATGTGTTGTTAATATTTGTGGGCGGTGGGTTTTTTTTCTGTCTTTCTGATAATTAAATGTTTTGAGGCTCTTAAATAGCATTTCATTTAATTTCTATTAGTCTCTCTCAGGGCAAATTTCAGATATGATTTTTTGGTTGAAGTTTGTGTGTTGTTAGTAAGAACAAGGAAAGCACGTCGCAAAGTGGACTGACGGAATTTACAGAACGTGACAGACTTTGCTATTGTCTTGAATTAAAACCACAGACTTACATGCTTGCCCATTAGCAGCTACACTTTCTTTGCAAAATAGTTTAATGGAGCTCAGGAAGACTTGTGTGGGGCAGTGTATAAAATACATAACCCTGACCCCACAAAGAAGGGGTGGAAGAATTTAACTTATACCCATTAAATGCTAAACTTGGTCTTACTCATCTTTACTCAAGATGACTCGCTAAACTCCTGGAATGAGTAAGGAAGCCTTAATTTTGCTTTCAGTTGGTAAATGTTGTCATGTTTTGCCCATTCTTGATGAATGAAACATAAGGGTTTGGGTGGGTTTTTTGAAATTGTAACATAGAGATGTCCAAAAAGATGTTGGAGGAAGAAGATACTTCTATAGCTTCTGTATCAAATATCTTGCATCATTAGATCTTTAGTTGCAAGAGAAATGTTAGGTTTTCTGCTTGGTTTTGCCTTTTGTTTGTTTGTTGTCTTGGGGAGGTGTGTTTCTACTTATCTTGCAAGTTTTGAACATTAAAGATTTTTCTTAATGTGTGAAGGTGCAAACTTAGATGCTTTTTTTTTTAAAAAAAAGTTATATATGTGTGACAATTGACTTACTGTTTTGGCATGTTGTTTTCATTTTTCTGGTGAATGTAAGAATATCCAAGGGCAGAGTGGTAAGGTGATCCAGGAGGTGTGTGGTATTTAACATAAGTATCTCTCCATGATGACAAAGAGAAGTGATGGAGAGGACAGCAGGTGTTACAAAAAAGAGACATGAAAAGTGCTGGCTTCAACCAATGTCCCACCCAATATCTCACCTGTACTAAAGAGCTTCAGGTTTTAGTTCTGCAAGAGCTGTCGTAAGGGGATTTATTACCTTCCTGTCTCTTCATCTGTTTTTTTCCTTCTGGCTAACGTGAGAGCCTTGAAGGGAGGTGGCATTATTGCAGCTCCAGGAGTGCTTGGGAGGTAGCATCTGCACACGCTAGAAATGAAAACAAAAGATAATGCAGCACTGCTACAAATGAGGTCTTACCATCTGTGTTACACCTTCTTAAGTAAGGTTTAGATGATGTAATTTGTGAAGAGCACACTGGACTAGATAATCAGGTGGCAGATTCTGAAATGACTTGCCTCTTGTATTAGTTTTTAAGTTTTTGTCAGAGGGGGTGTGCTTGGGGAAATAAACCGGTGTGTTCCTGTGGTGTGTGTTGCAGATCGAACTGAGAAGCATTCCACAATGCCAGACTCACCTGTGGATGTGAAGACACAATCCAGGCTGACGCCTCCAACCATGCCACCTCCTCCCACTACCCAAGGAGCTCCAAGAACCAGTTCATTCACGCCCACAACGTGTAATTAGACTTATTTTCTTCCTTTTCTTCCATATTCTTTCTATTATATGTGTAAGAAACCAAAATATGTGAAGGGAAACCTGCATGACATGGCGGGAGCAGCATTTGGTTGTACTGCAATAAAGTAATTAAGCAAAACTAAGATAACAGATTAACACATCTTTAAGGTATTAAGACATTCACCTCAGAGTTGTATTGTTATTTCATTGACAACTTGGCTGCAGTATCAAAGAACAGTGAGCACTGGTTTCCCATGTACTTAATGCTCAGATCAGTCCTTCCATGAGAAGAACAGAAAACCACCTCTTCTATGCCATTCTGTTGTTTAAAGGATCCCGTTTTCTTTTGTGTAGAAATTTTGGGGGTTTTGTTTGTTGATGTTTTTGGAATTGAGGTAATTCATAAAGAAAATACTTACCTTCATCCCACTTATGATTGAAAGAAGAATTCTGATTTAAGAGCTATTTAATGTCTAATTAATATCTATAGAAAATTAAAAATAAAGATATTTTATTGTTTTATCTAGAAATTTCTAATCTGTGACCACTTTACTTCTCTAAATCACTTGGGGCTGCATCTCTCTCTCAGTTTATTGATGTAAACACACAAGAAACTCTGCTAGCCTTGATGGAATTACTCTGCATTCATATCAGTGCAACTGAGATTTGAATCTGGCATGTTGTCTGGACTATTCTTTTCACAGCCATGAAATGATCCACATTTCTCTTACCAAGATTTAGCTGCAAATTTTTTGGTCTCTTTTATACTGCCTTGTAATAGTATAAACATGAGAATGTGTTTACATTTCACATTTTAAATAAAACATTTTTAGAACAGTAGAATACATATGCCTAAACAGAATGAAGGCAGCATCTTCTATTTGTCTTGCCTGTGTCTGTTTAGTCCCTTTCTGTCTGTTAAATGCCTTATTTAAAATTCACCTCTATGCAGAAGGACAGCTGGAGGCCTTTGTACTACTTATATCCCAGGGAACCCTGTCCTGACGATTTACATGGAACTTAAACAGTGAGGCGGGTTTGTGCCAGCTATTCGCATAAACTCAAATTTAACCCAGTGACCCTGATCCTGCAAAGATTTGTCTGTTTTGCTTAACTCCAGCACCTGAAGCATCCTAGCAGCTGCTTGGTCTAAAGTTAATTTGTTTCTAGGTTTTTGCAGGACGAGGCTCTTTCAGATTAAGCTTTCCAGTGTGATGCACTTTGCGTAGTTCTGGGTGATTTTGAAAATCATAAAAGGAATAGGACAATATTCTTCTTTAATCACTCTTATAATCGTCAGTATACTGGCAAGATTTCCGGATGTTTGTTTATTTGATTGGGTTCAGCACTTCAGGAAGGTGTGTGAACCATAGCTGGATTTTTGAGGCTGTTTATATGAAAAGTAAAAGTCTAAAAAAGTCTAGTTTTAATTGCCTTTTACCCTTTTAGATTTTGGATTTTGGCCTTGGTGGTTCCAGTTTGTACAGTAAACAGTCACTTCTGTTGGAGTGTCTGTTACATTTATTATTACTACAGTGGGAATGCCTGTAGGCCAGGAATATCATACTTGTTTTCTGGTTATGAGTATGCTTGTTTTCTTTGGTTCAGATGATTAAAAACTCTTGACATATATTAGTTTCAAATTTTTAAATGCTAAAATCTGTTTTATTAATAACAGGGTTTTGTTTTTGAAATAACGTAGATCTTTGCTGGTTGGCAAATTCAGACATTATAAAGAAAAAGATAAAATCATTAGTATGAGGTGGGCTATTACAAAAAAAAAGTTTTAGGGAAGCTGCATTTGGGGGAGTATTTCTATATTTCTTTTGCTGTGAGAGTTTTACTGCCTTTCTCATTCCCGTGTCTATCCTAGGTAATGAACTCTGCTGTTCTGTGCTTTCTGATCATAGCCCCAGGACTCTCTGCCTAGAGCAGCCCCTTACCAGTGACTGTTTTGAGTGGTGTCAGGCTAGAGAAAGACATGTTCTTGTTCTTCCCAGACCTCATTTACTAAGTTCATGGTATGATGACTTTTGGCTATGCAAGTTCTTTGCAATCACAGTGTATTTATTTACTCAGATATCTCACTCTACTGCAGCGCTCAGAGAGCATGGCTTGGAGCTACACGTGGAGCTGAACTTGCTGAGGCCAGCGTCTTTCTATTTCTGTTTTTTCCACTTCTTGTTCTCCCTAGCCCACACAGCAAGAATAGGCAACCGAAAACTGGGGTAAAACACAAGTAGAAACTATATAACCATTCAGATAGCTTTTTCTGTAGTGTATCCAGAAGGACACTTCAGTCACTAGGGCAAAAGCGTCTTCAAAATTATTGTGGTAGTGAATCGTGGTAAATCTGGTAATAGGGTAGTGATTTAAACTTAGTAATAGGTGTCCACCCTCAAAAAGAACTTGTTGTCTAAGAAGAAAGATGACTGCTGGAGAAAGTGACAAAGAGACAAGGATGTTTGGCTTCAGAGAGGCCGCTCATTAAGAAACATTGAAAGCTCTTTAAGTTGCTAGCTCACCATGATTGTTTTTAAATAGGAAGCAGTTTAGACTAACGCTCCTATGCGTTTTTGATTGTAGACAAGTTCCTGATTTTTGATGTTTTTTGGGATGGGTTCTGAGTGACTTCCCGAAAAGAAATCAGCGAATTTCTCAAGGGCAATGACCAGCTGAGCGCGACTGCTCAGTTGTGTGCTGTGTGCCGTGTGCCCACACCTGCCAGGGCACTGGTACATTTATATTTCTAGCGAGCTGTCCTTTTTCTTGCAATTCACTGTCATTTTGTTGAGTCAGACTCAACCGACCTCAACAGAGTGTGTTTGACTGTTGCTGTTCCAAGTAACCTGGGTGGAAAAGGATGTCCTCGGTATGATTCTTTGCTCTCCTCTGGAGCGTGGATAAGAATCAAACTGAAATCACGGCCAAAAACTGTCTGTTTTTCTCTTCAGTATGTCTGTATGAATCTTGTTGCCATAAATTTTGAACACTTAGTACTTTAGATAGTTACTCTCACAGCAACCTTTCAACAGGAGGGAAATGCTTTCCTATCATTTCTAGAGATATGGCATTGGCACATGAAAGCTGAGTGATTTGCTCGTGGTCTCTGACAAGTCTTCTGAAGTCTCGCTTCGTGCCCTAGCTGCAAGGCTTCAGGCCACAGTGAGCATGGCACCGTTTGTACCTGCACAAACGACTTTGTGTGCTCCATATGTTAGCAGCTAGGAAATCTGTATCAGAAAAAATAACCTTCTCATTGGGTGATGTAAGGTTAAAACGTGAAAGTCCTGTTTTATAAACACAGCTGTCAGTTGTGTGTACAAAACACAAGTAAAAATATTCAGAGATAAACTGAGGCTTCGAGAAATATGTCTGCACATTTTTTTCTACCCCAAAGAGCAATTTTTTTTTTAATCTTCAGTCATATATGCACTCATGCTCTTTCTCTCTCTGTTTCCCTCCCTCTCTTTTTAAAATCCTCTGACAAAAGGCTGGTATTCAAATGATGCTTTTCAGTTCCAGGAGCGTTTTGAGGGGGCTGTGTGAGAGGCAGCTGCTGTTACTTCCAGTCCATACACCGTTCAGTACCAGCTACTGGGAAATAGATATAAACTGCAGAGTGTTGCTCTGTCAAAAGGCTAATTATCTTTGATTGTGCAACTTAATTAATTTTGAGGTCAAGCACAGAAAACATAAGCTGATGGATTTTCCTCTGTCCCTGTCTTCTTTCTCTCTCTCCCTCCCTCTTCCCCCCCTCTGTCTATTTTATCCTCCTTTCTCTTTTTCTTTCAGTAACCAATGGCACTAGCCATTCACCAACAGCGTTAAATGGAGCTCCATCTCCTCCTAATGGCTTTAGCAATGGGCCATCCTCTTCCTCTTCCTCTTCTCTGGCTAACCAGCAGTTACCGCCAGCTTGTGGAGCTAGGCAACTCAGCAAACTGAAGAGATTTCTTACAACCTTACAGCAGTTTGGCAATGACATTTCACCAGAGATTGGGGAGAGAGTGCGTACCCTTGTGCTAGGACTTGTGGTAAGCAAAAATCAATGATATAATAACTGTGATCTTTTTCCTCTCTCCTTTTCCCTCTTTTATGCTTGACATGTTTATTGTATAAAAGAGCGGGTCACATACACTGCATATATCATGCTTTAAAGATACCAAACATGCAAGAATGAAGTGCTGGCTCTTGCTGCTGAAGCTAACATAAGTAACTTGACTAGCTGCCCAGGGGTGGCAGCTATTCTCAGCCAGATACAGACTTGGCTCTTTTTGCCAGTATAGTATTATGCTGTAATGCTGTGAAAGGGTTCTCGTTCTGTACTGGCAGCACTCCTAGTGTAGACATACCTTCAGTTATATAATGTAGTAATATATGGTTTGGCTTACCTAGTTTAGTTGGCTGGGAAGAGCGCTCTACATATATAGGGGCAGAATAGTGGTTAAAAGAATAAGCTGAATATATGTTTGGACTGCGGTTACGCAGTGGAAAACCTTTCCTCAGTATTCGTTGAACCTAACAAGGAGGGACCTGACGGTGCATTGCTGCTACTTAAGTCACCTTATTTATAAGGCTGTCTTAATGTGATTATGTAGCTGAATGAAAATTTCAGCTTTTTCTTACCTGTATCTGTCAAGTTGGGCTGCTATTTTACAGGCAAACTGTTGTGAATCTGGCCCAGGATTCTTTTTGTTCCCAGTAAAGTCCTCTCTCTGCCAGACATTGTTGTCTCCCATGTATCTCTATCTCCTTCAGCAATAATTAGATGTACCAGGAAAAATGCTGTTGTGGTGCTCTGATTTACTTGTGTTCCAAGCAGCTGCAGTTGCCATTGGCTTCATTTGGAGCAAGGACTGCCAGCAATGCTTAGTACTAGGGCTCGGGTGCCACCTGTATCTTCACAAAACCTTATGTGGCAGTGGTGGGTGCCCCTTCACTTGAGTCTGTTTCAAAAGGAGGTTTAATGTAGGCAGCGTAACTTCAGTCAATAAGTCTACTCTCCATTTGCTTCCGTATCCAGAATGCCCATTTAATGCCATTTTGTTTGTCCCATGGCTCTCTGTGGAAAAGGGAAATAATAAAGAGACAAAAGACAGCTTTGGGACCATCTACCTGCCCTTGATTTTCAGATCAAAAGTGCTTGCCCACTGTTAATAACAGTTGATTTCTACTTTCGTCTGAGCTCTGAGGAGTAAATTAGGATCTTTTCCTTGGGAATGTCCACATATGTTATTCCCTTGGTCAAGCCTGTGCAGCATGTGGTCTTCATGATTTTGCCCTCAGCTGCAAGGTAATGACTTTCCTACATAG